AAATTCAAGAGTATTATAATTGCTTATATGAAAATATGATTAAATGTTACATACATTTTAGTATAAATATTATCTAATTAAATTATTTATAAATATTTTGCTGCTYTTAAAACTTGATTAAATGTCAAGTAAATGTTTTGTTTTTTGGTTGATCTTAAGCCCGTCAACTATGGCCATTATCTATTTTTAGGGGAGAACGATTGGTTTGGAACACGTATTGTATATTTGTATGTGTGGCAAAGATTTTGTTGCTTAAAATTTCGGGTGGCCACCCATCCAAGAACTAGCAACACTGACCGGTGCGTACATTCAGARTGCATATGCAACTAAGTGTAAGACACTGGGCCATAGTCAAATAAATTGTCCGTTTTTAAATTAAATTAAATTGAAATTGAAAAATAAATATTATAAAAATGAAAGTATACCTAAAAAACTAGAACTCTCATATTGGTTTATTAAATAATAAAAATAATAATAATAATAATAAATATAAATATAATAAGTATTTTAATATTTATTATTAGGAATTTATTAGTTATATATGATGAACATTATAATTTATAATATTTTGATTACACAACTATGTAGTCATTATGTCTACTCTATGACAGAATTCATTTATATGAAKTATAAAAATTGTATGAAATGTAATTTTGTATTTAGGTACAAGAATCCGACGAAAATCAGGTAACCATTGTGAACGTCCAAAGAGAATTGACGGGATATTATAAATGCGAAGTCTCAGCGGACGCGCCTCTATTCCACACCGGTATTAAGACAAAACTAACATACGTCACAAGTAAGTAAAACACTTTCTTTTGGTAAAAAAAAAAATAAAAAACAGGGAACTCGCTTCTGTTGCACAATAACTATAGATTAGATATTAGGTATTGGCCAGTGACAAATTCATTGTGATTATAATTTAAAGATAAATTTTTTATATTAAAAAAAATTCCGAACAAATACAGCAAAAATATTTAATGAATATAAAAATTTTGTGAACATTTCAAGTTTATGGTAATTCCTTTCTGAGTTACATCAATAAAAAACAAAATTGGTAGGTAATTTTGCTACTTARTTAAATATTCCAGTTTTCCTGCTGTTTTTTTGGTTAATTTTCCGAAAACGATCTATTAGGATTTTCCTACTTCCGCTATTTCACCCAAAGTACCTTCTAGTCGAATTTGATACCCGAGACTAAAACTAGTTCTCCAAAACTGATGAGTTACAACAAAAYATACACATAAAAAATAAATTYCTAAATAAATWGATTAAAAATATTATCTGTATTATATACATAAATCCAATATATTTCTCGCTCTGCTCATGAACTTTACATAAAAGTTAAATCAACAATGTAACAACGTAAGCGAAATAATATTTAGTATGTACCTACTTGATATAGTATTATTATTGTTTAAAAAGTGCATAAACTACAAACAACAATCATTTTATACTGCATCGTGTCCCTCGTAACCCTCTATGCCTTTAATAATAATAATAATCATATTATTATTATATTCTTACTATTGCACAACCATATTACAACGWGAAAGGAAATTCCAAAGTTATTAATACGCACACTTCTGCAGTTCTGCAAAATGTTTAATTATTACATCGTTGTTCGACGACTACACACTAGCTGTTCCATAATATTATATCTATATTATATTCTATATAATATGTGTGTACATGTGTATATTTTACACATATAAATACGTATGCGCATAACAGATATATATATATATATTATATATATGTATAGATAGATATACATCATGAATAGCGTTTGAGCATATTATTATAAAGCACAAAACCGGGATGATACCATTGTTATGTGTTATATACGTGTATATTGCGCATATAGTATAATGTGTACGTATTTACTACTACTATTACTACTACTACTTCTGTTACCGCCATCACTTTACACTCCCATTTCTAACTGGGTAATAATAATAATAATRATGACAGTGGAGGTGTTTAGTGGTTGATATGGTGGTGGTGGCAGTGGCGGGGAAATTTCTCTATTGTCCCACCCGTCCCTTCGGAATCGGACTGTAAGGATCGTTTACATTTACAATTATTAATATTATTATTGTTATAAGTCCTAATCCACGTCGGACATCAAAATGTCAACATAATATCACAACCGCCAGCTAGACTGATGGATCGCATAGATATACGGTTTAAAACGAGCTTTCCAAAAATCAAAACCAACGAATTTAATCAAACGCCAAAGTTATTTAGAATCAGAAATACAATAAAAATTAAAAAATTAAAGCGTTTTACCACCAAATCTAAGTGAAAACATATGAAAAAGTTTTCAACAAATTTTGACGAAAAACTATAAGTGGTACTGAAATTATTTCGACGAGTATGGTTCGTTACGATTTTCATTGAAGCTCCAGGCTGCAGGCTCCAAGCTCCAGCGTTGCGAAGACTTTATCCTAATATACTATACTAAGTATTATTGCAGGCATTATTTTTTTTATCAAGCTCTGTTATATATTTTGCTCAGCACTTTTTCCAATAAGAATAGGTTAGAGACTTTTGAAGGGAAGACTACATAGGTATCATTTTATTTATGTGTAAATTGTGATGGTAGATAAACATTTTATACCTAGCAAGCAATAATACATATCATTAAACAATGATTAATGTTATTATAAAATATATTTATTTTTTTGTAATGCAAATTAATTATATCTATTAAACTATTATTATTATATATTATGTAATTGTTATGTAATTTATAATGATATGGTACACCCCTAACTGCCTTTACGGCTTAATTCTCAATAATAATGAAATTTTAATACCTAATTGTTACATACTTAATTTCATACATTAACGAATAATACCCTTATATAATAAAATAACTCTACGTATATAGCATTATGAATATTGAAAACATTTATAGTGAATGAGTGATTTTTAAAAGCTGCGTTATGTTAAAATTAGTCCTATGTTATCATTTTAACTTAAAATGGTTACTAAAAAAAAAATTTGAACATTTATACGAACTGATTAAATTTGTTACGTTTGTCTGTCGACGTATTGAAGTAAGACTTTACTAAAATATAAAATGTATCATATCATCTAATGATAATTTATGTTTTTAAGGACATCTTAAGACAATTGATAATCGATTTACAAATCGTATACTGTATCAGTATGCATGCCTAACAATTGTATTATTTTCTGCAGTAATGTTATTATGTCAGATAAACTGACAAAATCATTCTGATTGTTATTGTTATTCGATTTTCAAACTTTTTTTAATTCGTGTTTCTAAGCTAGAATTCCAATGCTAAGGTGAAAGGAAATTAGTGATCAATCGCCAGTTTTATTTTACATTGTTTGCATAGAATAACCMACTTGATCAGAGYGATTTTTCACTATAGCAATGTACCAAARAACTCTGTATATTTTTTGGTATTATGAATAATGTATGAATATTAATTCAAAAATATAAGTTTTGGTGAAAAAAAACCATCTGAACACTCTCAAATGTACATTTGGGAACGCATTACTGTCAAAGAAGTTCAGACTTGCTGCATATCGCTTGTGTATGCATGAAAATGTTTCGTCCCTTTTRTAAGTGCCCGTCAAGTTYCCAAGGATATCATAAAAATCTATAGCATAATACGTCGAATATTCGCTTTGAAAAATGCATACTAAATGTTTTTTGGYCTTCGTRATACTTAAATTTGTACACGACAACGTGTTCGGTGTAATTTCGTGCAACTTTTATTTTCTGAAAATAAAAAATAACTGGGTCAGTTAAACATTGCAGTGACATGATTAATGAAACGTATTGAGATAAGCTGCAAAAAGCCGGAATA